TGGCCTCGTGAAAAAAGACTGTTTGTCCAGAGCTGCCTTTAACCCACAGACTTTTTCTTTCCTTAATGTGCTGCCGGGTGGGTAGCTAGCATTGTAGCTTTCGTGACATGTACTGAAGTGTCTCTCCACATTGTGCTGCTTTGCAGTCACAACAGTTGTCCCGCAAATGAGACACACACATTTTTCTTTGACTGACGTAAAAAAGAACTCTTCCTCCCAATCACTGTGAAAATGACATGTTCTCTTTCACTTTTCTGCCATTTTTGGGGGGGTAAATCACAACTAACTCGTTGTTGCACCGCCTCCGTGTCAGGAAACAGGTATGTGGTGTTGACATGCGCGCAATATTGACCTTTGACTTCAGAAAAGGCCATATTTTGTTATGTACATAAAATATTTTTGTTTTAAAACGCTTGTAATAAATAACAACATTTTAAAATCTACATTAATTCAAGCATTTTTGATTCAAAACAAAAAACTTTTTAGACTTCATTGTGACCAGCACTATTTGTAGAACATGCCTCGCTGGAGTCTCAAGTGATCCTTGTGGGCGACCGAGTGCCCGCGGGCACTGCCTTGGTGACCCCTGCACTAGAGAAAGGATGAAAACAATCACTAATGACACGTTATGCAGAAGAACCTAATACCAATGTAGAACTTGTGGATCACTATAGCCATTCGTCTTACTAGCTGTGAAGCAATACCTTCACTAGAGCAGACTACACTCTGTCGAGATGGGGGGACAACATCTACAGTCTGTTCTGTGCAAAAATTCATTCTAATGTTTATTCAGTGCTAATGTCAAGCTCCATCATGATTACCAAAGAACTGTAAGTGGATTTTATTCTCTATTTTGTACAGTCAAGGCTGAATGTTCAAAGCTTGCAGCTGTCAGGGCTCTAAAAACTCCTGGCTTACGGTACTGTGTGTCAAACTAGCTTCTGCTAGTTTATTGAAAGTATGAACCACTACAACAAGGGTCTTGTTGTGTTACCTAAATATGAAGCCCCGTCTTTTGGAGGGCACTAAGGTTAACATGTAGTTTTAAGGATCGTAATAAAAACCTTGAATTGCTGTTTAATTCAGTTACCAAACAACACATTTGGCTCCCAGTATAGAAACAATGTAAACAAGAAGCCCTATTAGTGAGGGATAGAAGGGGCCCTGTAGGTTGTGCTTAACCCCCGGGTCTCCGAACAGTTTAATCCAGCCCTGCTAACATTTTGTCGTGTTAGGAAGGGATCGTTTTATGGACAGTATGGACAAGAGAAATTATGACAATCACAATAATCAAATTATTTTTACAGTAAAGTCTCCCTTCTGGGATGCACACGGTTAAATCCCATTTATTATAATTTACATTTACTAATTAGTTGGGGAAAGGTTTTTGATTATTAAAAAAATCTAATTAATTAATCACTGAAAATTGCTTTTACATGTGCTGTATATTTTTATATCTTAATGTAAAAAAAAACACAGCCTTTATTTTGTAAAGATGTAAGGTGTATTAGTAAAGTCATGTACTACCAAAAAACAGTGTGCTCTCATTAACGTCTAGCAAACTTTAATATATTAGTGGGGGAAAAAGAACGTCAAAGGTTTAGACTTATTCTTTTTATTTACATTTTATACTTACAAAAATGACTTGTTAGTAACAACAGGACTGCAAAGCCAGAACACTAGTAAAGATTCAGAACAACCATGAACTCTAAAATACAGAGTGGTCTTGTCAGTTTTTAACAGCCAACTGTGGAATATGATCCAGTTAAAACACTCAACACCACAAACACCAGTTCTCCCCATTCCATGTGCAGGTTGCATTACTATCTGGGATGTTTTATACAGTTTCTCCAAACTACACTTTAAATACAGTATCAAAGACACAAAATACAACATCTGTCTCAAAGCAGGTTGTAATCAAGTAGCCTATAATATAAAGAATATGCAACGCAGTATGAGTGTATATACTGTATATTTACATATATATATATACACACACATTGCAGACAGTCACAAAAGGAAAGACTACCAAGACCCTGCCCCCAACTCCCACACTAAGCAGTTCTATTCACATTTAATGAGAATATCCAAAGATGCCATGAAACAGCAACCATAATACAAAAGTCACCAAAAATATTTTATATATATATACACATACATATGTCTATATATACACACACACATACATATGTATATATACATACATATGTATATAGCTACCATGTTTTGTCTTATATTTTCTTGCTTTTAATAAACTATAAGGACTGGAAAGCGTATACAACATCAAGCGTACATTAAGAAGGCATGTCCTGTATATAATCAAGATATTTTAAAACATTGCACATAAAGGGATAACATAGAGAAAAGAAGAGGGCATGCTGAGTAACAGATCGAAGCGATGCTGGATGAAGACTCATCAACAAATAAGGCTTTGACAGAACAAATCGCCAACTGAAGACATGCTCTCCACTACACACAACGATATGAACATGCATCGTTAAACAGAGAGGAGCTGAATAGAACCAGCCATTTGATATCAAAGCCTCGTTCCTTATTTCACAGATCAAATGGGGCCCTTGCCTATTTGATTCACCTTCAGTCACATTTGAATAAAACAAAATGATACATTCCTTTTTTTTTCTCAATATAATTCAGTATTCCAAAGACAAAATTAAAACTTTTAAAACAACACCTGTCCATTTATTGCACACCATTGGTTCACAAAAATATTTCGGGCACTTTACGTTTCAACAAACAGCAGCATTTCATTATAAAAAAGTTGTTTGAATACAGACACTGAACACAATGGATGAAAAGCGCGACATACAAATGGAGAATAGAAAATTTTTTTTAAATTTTGATATTGTGCAATTAAAGTTAATAGGTCCACTTACTAAGGCTAGTTTCTTAAATGCACAACATCAGTGTTTAAGGGGCAAAACAGCAGGACCCCATTGCTAAATAAATAGCATGGACCACTTAGAATGATTATCTCTTTTTTTTATTATGAACAATTATTGATTGCCATGGCAAATCCCCAATGAGAGAGAGAAAACATTTGGTCCTGTAGGCAAAAGCTTGATTAGTACCCAGTTTAAAAGGGCAAATGGCACAACTTTGAAAAAGTGACTGATATAATGGCACAGAGTAACACAGGCTATTAACAAGACAGCTCTCAGTGAATTGCAATGATCAGGACACTGCAATCCTGATGCCCTCGTCACAGCATTATTTGTCTTTAGGAATCTGCCCTGTATGTAAGGTCTACCATCCTGCTGGGATCATTCTAAATGTGGGCTGTTGGTACAACTTGCAGAGGGCAATGGAAAATAATAAAATTCACTCAACAAGTAAAACAGTCACAGTCAGTCAGTAGCATTCAACTCATGGATTATCACAATGGGTGACATTATCTTCTCAATATACAGGCACAACAATTGTCTAAGTACGGAACTACAACTGTATTGGCACAACACAGGTAAGAGTTGAAAGTTTAACCCAAAGCATAAAAAGGAAAATACATTTTCCTAAACTGTTATCTGTTAAAGGTTGAGCTCTTGCCTAACACAACATTTTTTAGTTATCATTTATAATGATTCAACTTACAGTATCAGCATTCAAACATTAGCACACACCTATTGCTTCTAAAGCTACATCATCACATAACAACCAGCCTCCTTGTAACTTGTTACGAATGAAAACCGGCCACCACAGACAACCAGGAATGTTCACATCCTGCTTCCCTGATTGCGGGCATATAGTTAATTTGTATCATTTTAGTCAGGGAAATGTTCACAATGTAGTTCTGTCACTGTGACAGCTTAAGAAAACGTTTGGGGTAATTAGATTTTTTTGTTTATGACCCACAAAGTTACACAAAGACAACTTTGAAAAAGACACTAATTGTGTACCTACAGTCACTTCAGAAAATATTTGGGCTCATTCATTTCTTTACCCTTTGTATTGTAGATGCTTGTCCAAAATTATGAAAGAACAAAAGCTCATTTACAGAAGTATTCAGACCCTTCCAGTCTTCTTGAGCAAGTCTCCACAGGCTTTGCACACCTGCACTTGAGCAGTTTATCATATTCTCCCTGGCAGATCTTCTCAAGCCCAGATTTAATGGGATGTTTCTGTGGTTTCTCTGAGGTTTAAGACTGGGCTTTGGCTGGGCCCTCAGGGACAGTCAGAGACTTGTCCTGATGCCACTCCAGTGTCGTCCTGCCTGTGCGCTTCAGGTCTTCATCGTGCTGAACGATGAACTGTTGCCTCAGTCTCAGGTCTCTGCACTCTGGAACAGGGTTTCTTCATGGACCTCTCTGTGTTTGGCTGCATTCATCCTTCCCTCAGTTCTGATCTGTCTCTGCTGCTGAGCAGCCCCCATAGCATGACGCTGCCACCACCACGCTTCACCGCAAAGGTGGTATTAGCAGGTGATGAGCAGAGCATGGTGTTCACCAGACATAGTGTTTGGAGTTGTGCCCAAAGACTCAAATGTTTGTCTCCTGAGACCAGAGAACCTTTTTCCTCGTTCTCTCAGAGTCTTTTAAATGCTGTTTGACAAAGTCCAAGCAGCTCCATCAGTCTTTGACTCACAGTGTCTTCTGTCCTGCCACTCTACCATACAGACCTGATTGATGGAGAGCTGCTGAGATGGTCACCCTTCCAGCAGGTTCTCCATCTCTGGTCACCTCCCTCGAATGGTTACTCAGTTTGGTCAGATGACCGACTCTAGGAAGAGTCCTGCTGGTTCCAGTTTATTTCCATTTCACAAATACTGAGGCCACTGTGCTCCTCGGACTGGTTAGAGCCATGCGGAAACTTATGTGTATGGACTTTACTAAACTATGTCCAGTCAAGTTTGAGACACAAGTCATGGAAAATTAAAACAAACAAGATGCATCTGAACACAATGCAAACAAAGTGCCAGAGAAAAGGGTCTGAATACTTTTGTAAATGAGAGACTTCAGTTTGTTTTTTTAACAAATTTGCAAATATTTCTGAAAACATGTTTTTCTTTTGTCTTTACTGATGACAAATAAAATGAAAAAAAAAGGAAATTTCATCCATTTATAAGTGTGCAAAAAGCGAAGCGGTTTGAATATTTTCTGAAGTGACTAAGTGAAACATCACTTCAACGATCATGCAACATTTAAGAACATGTTTACCTGTTGGTAAAGCAGCACAACCATAATTTGAAAGCCATGTCAGATACCAATACCTACAACACAAACTGTGATTAGGACTGAAAAACTGCCACTTGACAAGCAGACCTAACTTCAGCTAGGATGAAAAGCTAAATGGCCTTATCTTCGAGCCCATTTGAGGCTATAATGACACAACTGTGAGAAAACCTAACTGGTTCGAAATTTTAGTCATACTTTCTTATTTGGATTTTTCTAAACTCCTAGATCAGGTTTGATCTATCAAGTGTTCATTAAAAATAGAAAACTTGTAATAGGTCAAAAAAACTGATACTGCACAAGCATCTTAAGGGAATACTCTGTGGATATAATTTCAAGTTTTAAACCTTTAAAAAATGAAAAGTTCTATGTTCATATTGATAAAAGGAAATGCACATACACACGCCTGACATATCATATTTCACAACACCCAACATACACAGCATTCAAATAGTAAAACTACAGTACAAGCTATTTCAATATAGATAATATTGACAATTAACAGTTTGCCTATAGCGATGGCACTGAAGGAATAACACAGTCTCTGCCCATACAAACTAGCATTATCACTGCAAATGAAAAGTTTTTTTCTGCAGCTCAGTTTATGAAATCTTGAATTGCCACTGTTGCAAAGTCAAGATCTCTTCAACCTCTACACGTTACTTTGTTAAAATGGGAACTCTCAGGCACTTTCCAAAAATAGAGCAATGTTTGGACAACAGACCTCAAACTGGCAAAGACAAAAATGACTTAAGTTAGTGCTGCATTCAAGTCAAATGGGGGGAAAAGCAACCTTCCTAAAAGTTACAAACAAACAAAAAACAAAACAACAACAACAACTGTTGGCATGCTAATCTTGGTGACAAACAATACTTTGAAACTTGGGTTTGGGTAGGGACTGAACCTTATCCACTTACAGCTCAGTCCACAAACAAGATAATTGCTTCAGTCATGCTTAGGAAATTATATGACCATTACAAAAAAACAAAGAAAATTATATACTTTGCTGGATCTGACTTGGTGAAAAACTAACTAACATAAGTGCAGCTGTGTTGCATGTGGAAAACATCAAGGCAACTGAAGTCTTCAGGTAATTTCAATCACAGCGTCTTGATGGCTTCACATGTTTGAGTTTCAACATGTGCACACATCCAAGTTGTCCTTTTTAGCTGTCAAGGCGTTCCAACAGATATTCCCATATGACATGATGTTAAAATAAGACAGTAGGCCAGTAGAAGACTTGAATCATTCTATGGTAATGGAAGCCAGCTCCTTGACCTGGGCATGCTGTTGTTGCTGTTGCTCTTCTTCAAACATCTCTGGGGAACTGCCTCCTACACTGTTGTCCATCTTGATCTCCTCTGTCATGGCTGCCGTCTCGTCAGCGTCCACCTTGAGGGAGGCCGGGGCTTCAAGGGAATCCAGGGGCTCGGGTGAAAGGAAGCCGGAGGAACTCTCGCAATTCTGGGTAGAGGAGGAGACCTGGGAGATGACAGGCATCTGGACTGAGGAGGAGGATGAGGCAGCAGTGGTGGTGGAGGTGGAGGTACTGCCCAGGTAGACAGGGTGATGCTGGGACTCCTCCAACTCATACTGGACTCCCAGCGCCTCCTCCTCCTCCTGTACCTGGCTCAGGTAGTCGGGTACGAGGAAATCACTGCAAGGATGAAAATAAAATAATTTTACTGTCCTTTTATGTGCTACTGTGACACAAATTTTAGACTTATACTGAACATGCCAAGCTTCAAAGATGTCACATTAGCCAGTTTTCACAATTTCACAAATTAGCACAGGAGAAGCACAATGTGCATAATGTTCTCCTAAACCAAAATAAACATAAAAAAGAAAAAGAAAACTGGGTGTATCCTAAATGAGTTGGGAATTCATAAAGAACAGCATTTATTAGATTTTAATGTTGAGCTGGAATTAGGTGCATACTGCTTGTAATTAATCTTATAAAAGGGTGTATGTGTGGATGGGAGGCTGTATTCCAAACAAAATGTGGGTTCAATTAATAAAAAAAAAAAAAAAAATCATAGTGACTGTACTACCAAATCTGACAACCATTCAACCAGGCAGATGTTAAGGATGAAATTATGGTCAGATGATGAATTAAATTACAATTAATAAGAATTTAGTTTAATAATTGAGTATTTAAAATAAACAATTTTCTAGTTCCAGCTCCTCAAACGTGAAGACTGCTTTTCCATATCTTATGTGGCAGTAACATTTAAGTTTTGGACTGTTGGTAAGACAAAATCAGCACTTTCAAGGATAAGACTGGTCATTTTCTATATTAACACTCCTCATGCAAAGACTAAGAGATTAGTTTATTAATCTGTGCCACTGAACTCCACTGTTGTGCAAAAACAATTAAAAACACATCAGGGAAACACACCACTGCACTGGGTGACATGGTTCTGCACTATGAAATACCAGATCCTGATATTTTTGTTAAATGGTGCCTAAAAGGCTCCAAATGGCCATAATGTTATACAGCATCGCAAGAGTCAAGGGACCCTGCAAAACACCACTGAATCTTTTTAAAAAGTATCAGGTATAAACAGCAACAACATCTGATCTGTACACTTAAAACATTTAAATGTGGCTGGGTTTTTATAACATGTGACAATACCCAAAGAATTACATTTGAAATCTTATGACAGAGGCCTTATAAAATGTGTGAGTGCACAATGTGATCATGAATGCAGGCTATTTACCAAAGTCCCAAGTCTTGTAGCTTAACACGTACATACTAAAATGTTAGGGCTGAATACAACTGTCCTCTGTGGCACAAGCTAGTCTGGAAATCAGAAACTTAGAATCATAAAAGTATAGCGTTGATAACATATTTTTTATGAGAAGAGAGAACAGGAGTTAAAAGTTTGACTGGGCTGCTAGAGAATTTTCCATACCGTTATGATCTCAGGCTATAGACCAGGGGTGGGCAAACTTTTTGACTTGCAGGCAACAATGGGTTCTAAAATTTGACAGAGGGGTCGGGCCGGGAGCAGAAGCATGGAGTGTTTGTGTGAACTAATAAAAATGACATATAAAGGTGATTACATAAAAAGTTTTGGCCTTTAACAGGTAGCAAAGCATGAATACGCAAGACTTATTTTACAAATTATTCTGCAAATGCATTTTTTTCATAACACAGTAGAGAAATAAACCTTGATTTTCAGTGGGAACAGTGTTGTTCTCCCAACTTGATGCCAGTGCATCAAAGTCTGGAGTTAGTTTTGTTGTGGCTATTCTCAGGATAGATCTGAGGTGTTGGTCAGTTAACATGATCTGTGACTGGATTTGTTGATGTTCATGATGCTGAACATCTGCTCACACACATAGGTCAAGCCAAATAACGCCAGCATCTTCTGTGCCGTCCTCTGGAGGTTTGGAAACGTGCATTTGTTAAGTGAAGCATAAAAGTCATTCAGTTTAAGAGAGTTGAATTTCTCCTTTAAAACAGAGTCAGACTGAAGAACGATTAGTTCCAAATGCAGCTCCTGTGGTGCTGTTTCAGGGTCTTGTGACAGGGGACAGGACACCAGCTCAAGTGACTTGTCAATTTTTTCAAAATCAGAGAACCGACGGCAAAATTCTCCGTGCAGGTTGTCCAGTGATTTGCTGTATTTCTTCGCATTTCGGGTGGCCTCTTTCTACATGGCTAGTGTGGGAAAATGAGTGAAAAATTTGTTTGAAATTTGTCTGGAGAATAAAGTCAGCTTGGATTTGAAGGCTCTCACATTTGTGTACATGTTGTGCAAAAACTGTAGCTTCACGTTCAGTTTATTCATGTGTGGAAAAAATGTCCACAGCAAACGCAAAGTCACAAAGCCAGTTCTTGTTGCTCAGCTCAGGAAATTCATAGAATTTCCCCATTAACTCCAAAAATGCGCTAATTTCCTCTTTAGGCTCTAACACTTGCTGAAACACTTTGCCCAAACTTAACCAGTGGACAGTAGAGCGGTAAAGTGAGTCCTGGTGATCCGTATCGGTTTCCTCCAGGAAAGTAACAAACTGACGGTGATGAAGTCCCCTTGCTCAGATAAAGTTAACAAGTTTTACGAATGGATTCACGACATGATTAAATCCCTTAGACAGAGATTCCTGATAAATGATGCAGTGAAGGAAAATAAAATCCTGGTCAGGGTTTTCCTCTTTCATTTTATCCTGGATTCTTTTCAGCAGCCCGATGTTTTTTCCAGTCATTTTGGCGATCCATCCGTGGTGTTTACTCCAAGGTAGCTTCATTCTCTCGATGATGGCAGAAACCCGGTCAAAGGGCAAAGCGAAAAAGTGAAGTAGAGAGGTCAATGTGCATCTACTGGGGAAATGTGGGCATTGCAGGGAAAAGGCAAAACGAATAAGGTTTAATGATAACAATTTAATAATATAATTTGGACAAGTTCGGTGGGCCGGATTAAAAAGACTAACAGGCCGTAGTTTGCCCATGCCTACTATAAACCCATTCTATAAAACACTTGAGGAGTCTAGTGGCCTATTTGAATCTTGATGTTATAAAGACACTGTATTTTGACTTTCCTTAGGTTTTGTGGGCCGGGCTACTGATAAAAACAACCTACTCACTTTGGTAAAAAAAAAAATCCAAACAGCAACAAACAGAGAGGGCAAAATGATGAAAATGTAGATGCTTTATGTGGATTGTATGTCCGAACATTTGATTACACCTAAGTTTTCAAGACAGACCATTTCTCTCAAGAACAAAGAGGACTATAAAATGAGTCACTTTAAACAACACTGAACGTATCTAAGGTGTTTTAGAACACTGTACTATTGGGTTTTGTTTTGGCAGTTGCTCAGTATATTCAGAGTTAGATGAGAAGACTGACACTGCTCTCATGTTTGTCCTGTAAGTTAAATGTGAAGCATCAGCTAGCAGTCAGTTAGCTTAGCTTTGTAGAAAGACTGGAAATTCCAGTGCTTTTTTTTACAAGTTTCACAGTCTTGACTTGCTATGCTTCACAAGCCCAGATGTACCAGCTCAGACTAGACCATTATTCTGGATGCAACAAAACTGATGTGGGTGTACCCTAAAGCACTCATGAAAGTATCTGGGTTGGGATAAAGGCCAATCCCTCTAGATTTAGTCATGTTGAATGTAAAGGCATAAATCACCAATGTCATCATACAATCATATGATCAGCTGGTGTTTTGGCTTTCCATGCCTTTTTGCACCTCCCTTTCTTAATGTGTTCAATACTTTTTCCCTGTGTCATTCCATTTTATTACACATAACTTAATTTCTGAACTTATTTGTTTTGTTTTCTTTGTATGAATGGATTATTTGGGTTGTTACCGACATCTGGTCAAAATTTCATGTCAACAGCACCTTTAGAAATATATTTACTGAGAAAAATGGTGACGTGTTCAATACTCATTTTACCCACTGTATCAGTGTTGTCTATTAAAACTTACGGTGTCAGACTGTGTATATATTTCAACAATAAATGCTGCAAGAATACTGTGTCCAAAGGGGCAGTAATATTATCAGCCAAGGGACTTTGGTGATCCTGTTATTTTAACAGTCTACCTGCCCCCAACAGCTAATGTGACAAAAGCGCCACAAGAGCTAAATAGTGGCATCAGTGATCAAAAAGAACCCAACAAATCTTTTTAAACCATCAAATTTAAAAACAGTTTTGCCAGAATTCCACATGGATGTCAAGTTACAGACACCAGCATGTGTACTTGCAGACATCATCAGCATCTCTCTGGCTGGAAAGGTCATTCCCACATGCCAAAGGTTAACTGCCCAGTACATAAGAAGTCTCCCAAGTGCTGTCTGAAGGAGTACAGTTCCAAAGCACTACACCTATCTTCATGAAGTGCTTCTTGAGAATGGCCCTGCAGCAAATTAAATCCAGACTCCCTATCACACTTGACCCCTTCCAGTTTGATTACCATTTCAACTCCTCCACTAAGGATGCAGTTATATCTGCCCTCCACCGAGTTCAGTCCCATCTGAATAGAAACAAAACTGATATCAGGATGCTATTCAGTGACTTAAGCTCAGCATTCAACATCATTATCCTGCAACACTGATTAGAAGATGAGACAGCTTTGGCCTCAACAAGGTCCTGGACTTCCCCACTTCCCCAGAAAAGATTATTTGCACTTTTCTTTGATCCAAACAAGAAATCCACAAAACACAGCACAACTGCAAGGCCTTCAACATCATGAAAGACCGCCACCACTCAAGCCACAGCCACATCACCCTTTTACCATCCAGCTAGAGGTACTGAAGTATCAAGACCTTCTCTGCCAGGCTGTACAGAAGCTTCCTCTTGTACACAGTGAGGATTTTCAACAGTTTGAGCAAATATAAAGACTGATTTGCTGGAACTCCATTAGAATGTTAAGTTTGTTAGAAGAGGAGAAAATACACTAGACATTGTTTACATCCAAGTTGTTACTAATTTACCCTGAACACCTACAAATTCCACACAGTCTTGAGTCAATTTTGTGTTCACTCATTATTTTTGCACTTGTCCTTGCATCTTTTTTATGTTTCTGTATTAGAGATAGCCATGGCTGGAGGCATTTTGTTTTTGGGTTGTTTGTACATCCATCTGTTCGTCCCATTCCGCATGATGTCAGAAACCCTTTAAGGGAACTTCTTCAATTTTGGCACAAGTGTCCATTTAGACTGAAAGATGAACTGATTAAATTTTGAAATTCTAAGGTCAAGGTCAGAGTGAAATCATGATAATCCCATTTTTGTGACCACAATATATCAGGAATGTCTTGAGAGAATTTCTTCAAGGATTAACTAATTCAATTTTGGTGGTCAAAGGTCAGGGTCACTATGGCCTCAAGTTCGTCCCATTCTTGTGAACATGATATCTCATGAGACACCTTGAGGGAGTTTCTTCAAATTTGGCACAGATGTCCACTTGGATCCAAGGACAGACTGATTAGATTTAGGTGGTCAAAGGTCAAGGTCAGTGACCTCACATCTGTCCCATTCCTGTGAATTTGAATGGTTGGTTGAGGTGTACAACCACAAAATGGTAATTCTAGCTTTTTATGTTGCACTGTGATCCATAAAATACAACATTTCATTTCCCTGTATGTATGTCATTCATATATATGGAAATAACATAAAACCCAATCCTGGCTCTGTCCAAAGATAATAAAATCCACCAACACTTCTAATTCTTAATAAAGATGCTATATCTTATGCCTTGGTGAACCCAAAAAATGCAGTGTAAAAATGCCAATTCATATAATTAGTAACATGGTGAATGCAAACCAAACAAAATGTGTTAATCAGCGAAAATTATGAAGATTTTACTATCTTTCAAAGCCAGGCAAGCTGCTTCCCCATTTGTCTTAATGCAAAATTAACTTGCTGCTGTCCCCAGCTATTACTATACAGACAGGAAAGTGGTATTAGTCTTCTCGTCTCAATGCCTAACTATTCTTTTAAATAAGTGAAAGATAAAAACTCCCCAGTAAATACAGGAAAATGCTTCAGGTACACTTGCTCTGAGCAGTCAAATCAATTGCAATCATCTCAAAAACAATTATACACACCAGTACCATAAAAGGAAAAACGATCAAATGAACCTCAGGTATTAGAATCTAAACTGAAGTTATTTTTTTGATCCAGGTGAGATCTGAGTAAATAATGGGTGTCAGCACCCCCGGACTCCTCACCTGCTCTGGAAGTAGTTTGCTAGTTCAGATGCCTCATGGTTCAGACTCCTCAGGTGTACAATTAAATTGCCAGAGTTGGTGAACATGGCGCCACACGTTTTGCACTCGTAAATCCGCGGCTTGCGGATTATGTGTCGGGAGACTCTCATGTGGTGCTTATATTCACCGAAGGACGTGAATGTGGCGCTACAAATCTGGCACCGGAAACAGCGTTTACCTTCGTGCTTTAGCCGATGCATCTTTAGGGAGTACGCCCGTGTGAACTTTTTCCCACAGCGGTCACACTGGAAAGGCTTAATGCCTGGGGGAAAAAAGAGAAAACCGATGTTTAGCTGATCTGTACATTAACATCACACGTGTTACTACTCATGTTCAGCTGAGGTCAGAGAGTTAATGGCTACCTTGAACTACACATTCATATTCAACTGTTTTCCAAAAAATCTTTCTAAAAATGACAAGAACATAGAGCCTCATCCATTCATCACCAAACTATATACAAAGCAGAACAAAGTCACGCAAATCAGCATCATTTAGACCCGTGTGACGCACATAAAATATATTGTCACAATGTTGGTAGGATTCAAGGTATCTTTATTATGTAGATTTTCTTTATGTTAGCCAAATTTTCGTAGGGAAAAAATACTGCAGCCTGGGACAGAGAGGTTTATCACAAACCACTGTATTATTCTGGACTAGGAAACATGCTTAATTCTGCTGTAAAGTCAGGCATTTTAACATGGGAGTCTATAGGAATTGACTCCCTTTTGGAGCCAGCCTCCATTTGAGGAACTACAGCTTTTGGCACTTCCACATTGGCTTGACTTCTCAGCCTCAGAGGTTGCCACTTGAAATGGACATTTGGAAATGATTTTGTGAAGGTAAATGTAAGTGTATATGTGTCTGCTTTTTTTCCTGTGTGGTTAGTAGGCCCAACAATGCCATTAGCATTGCTTTAAGTTTGGTCAGTGGCTCCACTGAATTTACTTTTGGTCCATTATCATTTTTCATGGTACAAAAATGTTGTTCATCTTGTTTGCTAAGGGTTTTGAGATGTACTACCAGAAATATCAGAGAGCAGCGCACATTTGTAATATGGGTGTCATGTCAGAAATTCATAAGATGCTAGTGCAGCATGCTAGTTTCTCTCTCTGTGAGCAAGCAGATAATGCAATATACTAATACTGGAACATAAAGTATTGTAACTTCACTAGTAGAATTATTAAGAAATCCTTATTGATATATTGGTAAATGTGAATTCGCCTGGAAACATAGAAGGCAAAGCTATGCAGTCTGTTTTGAATGTGTATTTGTTACTTTATTCAGAGATAATGTCTGATAGCAGAAAACATTTTTGTTTGATGAAAAATAAATTCTGCTGAGCGAAGCTGCAATGACCAGAAGCACTCTGCCGCAGGGCTCCTTCCTTCTCTTGTTTACACAAGAATCACTCTGCTACAGGTTCAGCCCCTAGACGGGACCTGTAACATCTATATTAGCAACTGTACTACTAATAATAACAACAGAAAGGCCCTCCACAAATAAGGATGCCCTCTTCCCTCATTGGAGCACCTAGCCAACACAAGCCATCACAACAGAGCCACAAACACTATAAAAGACTTTGCACGCCCAGGCTACCATCTGTTTGACCTGTTGCCCCACCTGGCAGGGACTACAGATCTCTCAAAACCCAGACCACTAAATTTTTGAACAGCTTCTTCTCTAAGGCCACCCATGCTCTTAACAATCTAAGCAGATGACTGATTTTAACTGATAAGGCAGTAGCACATCCTGTCCGATTATGAGAGAAAATCGGTGCAATACTTTTATGCCAGCAGGCAAATAAGTTCCTCATTTTTGTCACTGTTAAAGATGTGTATTTATTGTATTGTGTATCAAGTATTTTTTATGTCTTGTTCATGAGTATTCATACGTGTATTAGGTATTATGTATTCATGTTTTTAGACATCACAAGTAGTGCTCAGTTTCTTTGTATTTGAACAATACAAGGTTTAATTCATTCGTTCAACTGTCCATGTAAATTTTGAACTGCACAGCACATTTAATTCATATTCCAAAATATAGGAAATATAGAAACATTTGATAATCTTCCACTTGCAAAAACACTGATCAAATAAAGTGGGTGTTAATTTAGCTTTATTACAATCATGTAATAAGTTCAGGGTTTCTGCAGGCTTCAAAAAGTTACATTTAAGGCTTTTCAGGCCTTTTTTAGACCACTTATATGAAGAAAGGCTATTCATACTGAACATGAATAAACTACTTGGCAAGTAATTCTCGGACTGCACCACCTCGATTTTTATTGTTGGTGTAGATCCAGACGCTGTCCAGAGGTCTCTTACTGGTTCTGCAGTAGCTGGTGCAGAGTGGATTGCACTAAGGTCTTGGTGACACTCTTGATGTTAATGCAAAATAATAAGCAAATTTTTGATCGAAGGTGTTTCAACAGCGGTTTTGCATTTTCTTGGGCATGGTGCAGCAGGGTGAGTTTGTTGTATTTATCAGACTTTAACTGAGAATGGAATGAGATTTTTTTTTCAGTTAGCATCTTGTTAAACTTGCACTTCCCCATAAACAGATGAATAATAACAACAACCACGGACTGAAGACACTACATTATCTCACACACTACAACGTGTTAGCTGAGTGTTCCCTGATAAATTATGACCGGGCTGCAAAGTTTCCAAATGTTATGGTCTCAAGTTGGTTTGGTTTTATAGTTTTATTGTAGCACAATAAATATGAACTGATGAGAGAAAGAACTACAACATGGAGCTAACAAACCACTGGGAGTACTGTCTCCCCTCATTTTCCCAAAAACACATAAAAGCACAACTTAAGTTAATGTGACATAATAGAAGTAGCATTAATATAATCAACTTAACTAAAGCATGATCAATTTTTAAGACTCATCAAAATCATACTTAAGACCTTTTTAAGATTCTTTCAGGCCTAAAGTTCAGATTATTGGATTTTAGACTTACTAGGGCCCCACCGAAACCCTGCATATTTCTTTTTACCTTTTCTATTCCATGCTACAAGGTCACATATCATGCCATGTTCAGGTCAATATTGCTATTTAAGAGTTCTACTAGGAACTGTTTAAATGCTTGTAAATTCATGATGACTGTTAGTTTCTTCATAGCATCTGCTGCTCCATAAAGAGCAAAAGATTCTACCTGATAGAGTTGACAAAATATTGACATGGGGAAACAACTGACAGAGATGACATAGGCTACAAGAAAAAAAATCTTTAAAAAAACAGGCTCCCCAAGATTATCCAAATTTAAAACTAGAACATTTTATTGTAAACATCAGTGCAGCATTTAACCTTTTTGAATCCAACTTTCACATCTTAAAATCATTTTGTAATGTCATCCTTTCCAACATCTCAACTCCATATGGGCTACCCAACTCAGCATGCGCTCTTTTAGTCATCTGAATTTTTACACATTTCCAAACTTTTCAGTTATGGGCTACACCTTTGTCTACCATTATCCTCGTAATCTATTTAGTCAGAACACTTACCTTAAGTTATGTCTGCAGCATCATGCTAAGGATCTAGAAACTATTATGGCCTGGGCGCACCCTGCTTTAAGCTTGTGGAACACAATTAAAATTTTGCTCTGGCTACAGCCCTGACCACTACAGGTTGATGGTCAGTCCATTCTGTTTTGCTTTTCTACTGCATTTTTCCCTTTGTTGGTGTCTGTTTAGACTAGAACGCAGCTGTGCTGCTCTAACACATGCACGCAAGCACGCAAACACACACACACACAACAGCTAAGCAGAGGATGTGAGTCACAGATATGCTTGTAATGCAAACATATGGGGTTTGAAAAGGCTCCCGGAACACACCTTCAAAGAAGGTGGAGGGTAATGAAAACAAGCCCAGAACCCATGACGAGCCTTACACAGTTTGTCACTTTTTGGTAGGTTCCTATAATGGAAAAACGCCTTTTGGTCGTCTTGTTGCATTGTGAAGCACTGTGTGTAGGCACCGGGTGTTCACAAGGAATTAGAACGTGTGCAGTTTAAAAAAGAAAAAAATTTCTATAGTTCTGCTGCATTGATTTGATTTTTTTTTTTTATTGGACACAATGAGTCACAGGAATACAATGCTAAAATAATGAAGTAACTCTTCTAAACACTTTAGCAACCAGTTGCAATACCCACTGATACATTTCTGTTAATCAGAAATGCTGTCAAAACATGAACTTTCCAAGATTGATAATGAAGACATCTGAGGTTTTCATTTCCCCATTTCACCTACCAGAGTGTATGAGCATGTGTTGCTTCAGATTTTGAATGCGCGTGAATCTGACTCCACAGGTTGGACATTGAAAGGGCCGGTCAGGGCCATTGGTGCCAGGCCGGGCTGAGGGGCTGATATAGAGGTGGTACGGATACTGAATACCTTCCAACCTGAAACACACAAAGAGAGAACATCAATGTGATAATTGACCTCACGTGTCTTACTTGCAAAGAAAAAATATGCCACTGTATGAATAATTAAATGACATTCACTTTGACAAATAACTCTTCTAGAGTAGTTTGTCTCTTTTCACAAAAAATATATCTTGTTCATTTTGAAAAAAAGTAAGGCCAAGTGCTATTCACATCAATGTACTGACAATTTAAAGAAGGTGGTTGTGGGATGTTTTGTGTTTTGGAATTTAATTTAAATATTTGGAATTTAATAATTAAAATATTAGTGATGACAGTGCTATGCATCAGATTGTTTAATGTTTCACATATTCCCAGAGGCCTTGTTAGCTTTCACATAAATCTTTTTTTATATTATAATGTTCATGTTCTTTGCCATTTCAACATAAAGTTTAAATTTATTACCTAAACAGGTGTGGCACAGATGCCCATCTATAAGGTCTGTCTGTATGTTCTTTATGCTTATGACTGCTTATAACTTGTCTTTCTGCAAGCAGTAACAGATCATGATACCTTTCATCATCTTCTGCATGTCCTCCGGCATTAGAGGTGCTCTGCATAGAAGGCAAGCCCTCAGACACGCCCTCATCCATCGACCCTGGAAAAAAAAAACACAATAGTCATTGGGATTAGACTAATATACTGTAGGCCTTGGAAAACTCAGCCTTCTTTAAGGATTGATCCTACTGGATTAGGGGTTGAACGACTGATGTAAAATACCAGACCTGTTCGGGTCGCTAGTCATGGTTAGGGGCATGTACGTATGTATTGTCCAGTTCTTTTGAAATAGGTTGCCACACGTACAGCAAAAATCTAAAGCTTATGAGGAAAAAAAGCCTCCTCCCAATAATTCAGTGAAACTTCTTTAGCACAGATGAAATGTCCAGTGCAGCTGTCACAGGTTTTTCCCTACCATTATAAGGCTTAGCCACAGCGTCTAAATGAGCGGAAATCAGTCTGAGCGTCTGCAAGCCGGCCATGCGCAGAGACACCTCTCTGCTGGCATGCTGGACACAGGAAAGGCCAGTGCATGATTACCGGACATTTTGACCAGCAAGTTTTTAATTTAATGATTTTTTTAATGAGTTTTACCAGACAAAAACCGGTAATTACCAGCAAACGGAAACACTGCTGTCGTTATGTCAGGGCTGCTGAAGAATGGGTTCATTAATCTTAATCAAACCTCTAACATGGTCGCTACAGAAGAACCAGAAACACAAAAGACAGACTATGAAAAAACTAATTGGCTTGATGGAGTGGATGCAAGCAGGAGTTTAAGTGGCTATAATATAACATGCAACTAGGGCTGCCCCCAAATAGAACATGAGTCAAGAGATCTACCAGTTGACTGAGACTCTTCTAGTCAAGCTTTTGTTTTTATTTTATATTATTTTTTGTCAGCCAGTGTGCATTATAATAGAAGGTAGCCCCAGCCCAGTTGTTTGTCATCTTCTTCTCCTCATTTTGGTGTGCCAAGCAGCAATTTGCTAAGTGTGGTCAGGTGGGGGAACACCCACTTCAACTGTGACACTGTACAATACATGGATGTGCATTAAGGTTGGATATATTTAGAAAATTGCAAAACGAGGAGAAAAGGACTAAACTCACTAGGACAAACCACATAAAGGTGAGACGTGTACTTTATTAGAAGTGTTTCACACATTGTGGTCTACTTTTAGGAGAGAAAAAAAACTGTTGCAACCATGTGGCTGGTTTTGCATAGCCCAGTGTTATGGGAGTCCAGTTTATTTACACATCTCCATTAAAGTGCAACGCATAATCATTTACAGGCTGTTTCTGTGACATGCATCCATCCGAACGGGACTAGGAAGTTAACAGAAAAAGCATGGGAAAAACATTTCAATGAGGACTTATAAATAATAGGACTCATTCGCACAGCTGGCACACATAAAACACACAGGAAAAACGTGCTTGTTAACTGACTGAAGAACCTTAAACTTGTTAGTAAACTAGGCTATAACCATGTCTCACAACAAGAAAATTGCCTATAAGAGCACTGTGTTCTGTCTGTGTCATTAACCCAACAAATCTATATGGTAGCATGACATTATATATACATCATCAATTTAAATATTACACCATATTTATTGGTTTTTAAATGCTCAGAAATATGGTCTTGTCACTCTTTTGCATTTAAATACTGATGTTAATGTGGTCAGAATCATCATTGAAATTCAAGTTAGTTGATTTTCTGACAGTCGAGGAGATATATATACTGTATATTGCTTCAATATATGGATTTAACCTTCCTTCCTCATGATGCCATTTATTTTGTAAAGTGGCCTGGTCTCCCCTACAGCAAAGCACCCCCACAACATGATGCTGCCACCCCCATGTTTCATGGTTGGGACGGTGTTCTTTGGCTTGCAAGCCCCCCCATTTTTCCTCCGGACATAACCATGGTCATTACGGCCAAGCAGTTAAATATTTGCTTTATGGGACCAGAGGACATTTCTCCAGAAATACAATCTTTGTCCCCATGTGGAGCTGCAAAACACAGTCAGCCTTTTTTATGGCGGTCCTAGAACAGCAGCTTCTTCCTTGCTGAGCAGCTTTCCAGGTTAGAACTTGTTTTGCTGTGGATATACCGCAGATTCTTTGGTACCTGTTTCCTCTAGTGCCTTCCAAGGTACTCTGTTGTCGTTCTGGGATTGATTTATACGTTTTGGACCAAAGTACTTCATCTCTAGGAGACAGAACACATCTCCTTCCTGAGCAATATGACGGCTGCATGGTGTTTATGCTAGCGTAGTATTGTTTACACAGATGAACGTGGTACAGTCAGGCATTTGGAAATTGCTCCCGAGTATGAACCAGACTTGTAGAGGTCCACAGTTTATTTCTGAGGTCTTAGGTGATTTCTTTTGATTTCCCCATGATGATCAAATAAAGAGGTACCGAGTTTAAAGGTACGTCCTAAAACACACCCACAGGTACACGCCCTACTGACTTAACTGATCTGAATTAGCCTGTCAGATGCTTCCAAAGCAATACCATTAGCCGGAATTTTCCAAGCTGTTTAAAGGCACAGTGAACTGAGTCTAAGTAAACTTAGACCTTCAGGAACTGTGCTATAGTGTATTATAAGTTAAATAATTTATCTGTAAGCAACTGTTGGAAAAGTTACTTGTCATGCATAAAGTACATGTCCCAAGTGAACTGCCAAAACAAAATATATTTTCTGGATGGCAGATCTCTAATTCTCCATCAGGCTGCAAAATCTGGCATTTTCCACTACAGATGGAGGTTGGACATCAAGTATAATGAAGTTGAGCAGAGCAGTCATCTCCCACCCAGAAGGCTGAAGGTTCAAATCTCGGTGCCTGGAGTCCATATGTCAAAGTGTCCTTGGGCAAGACACTAAACCCCCCAAGTTGCCCGTGATGGCAGCGCGTATGCATGCAGTGGCCCGGGGACCTCAGCTCCAAACAAAATTTCACTTTACGTGTCATAATGACAATAAAATAAAGCTTCTTCTTCTTCTCTGTAGCTTTTGGGATGTCTGCTGGAAGTTTATGTGTTTCTGGAAAGCATCAGTTTGGTGTCTTCTCGTCTACTGGCTAGCATGAACTCCTGGTACTCTTTCGCATGAAACCTCTGCAGGTACAGCTACAAGTAGCTGTCTCGCTTTTCACCATTTCCTGAATATCACCAAACAAAACGCATTTTAGTCAAATCAACAGCTAATGTTATTTTCTCACTCGGTTACAGACTGAAGTTGCTGTGGGTTCATGGTAAAATGTGAATCTGGATTGGTGACGTGTCTCATGTTACATTATGTTAGATTACAGCAGGTTCATGATTCACTGCAAGCTACAGTCTGGATCGGCCCCATCTGTCCAATATGATGACTGAAGGACGTCAAGTATCAGACGCGGTACTGATATTGGATTGGGTCAATCTCTAGCTAAAACTGGTAGTGCCCTCCTCCCCCTTTAGGAAAAAAACTTGCCACACCAAAAACCATGACACCAAAACCATCATATGAATCAAACCATGGCATTTGCGAACCATTCCACCCTTATGCTGGATACCAATTTACAGTGCCATTCAGCATTTCCATTTTACTTTTGGATTGTAGACATGTTGTTCAAACAATTAACACCAACACAGATGCTACTGCATCTTTAAATATATCCATGTAACTTTAGATTTATGGTGAAGTAGGGCTGAGTGATGTATGATATAAAATTTAAATGATACATAAATGAGAAATTTTGATAAACTGTCAATAAGGAACATAGCTTGATAGCACAGGAAAGGAGGTGATTTGACTCAATCGCACTGTAATTTTCTTAAGAACGGACAATGTATGCCTACCAAACACACAGCAAGGCTGGTTGAGTTAGAGCACAGCACACACCACATTCTAAGTGGTAACATTACTACATGTGAGGCACGGCGATGAGTGCTCCCTCATACTGGTGGGAACAGTTACTCTTTTCTTTTTTAAAATGCATCTGTGGTGTAATTAAGTTCTGAAAATGCATCTAGTTTCAGGTCTATGTCTGTCAGTTTGACTGACATCAGGGCTTAAACACATAGCGGCAGCATTCAGCTATTCTCACAGCTACTGTGATCTCCTAGGCACATTCCACTATGGTGAATGAGCTTTTCATTTCACTGTATTATTTCATATTGCCTAACAATAATAATTACAGTAAAATAATTTTTGATTTGTGGCAAAATAAAATATATAATAATTCACATTTTATAATCGCTGAACAGTGGTGGAAGTAGTACCGGAATTATTTACTTATTCAAACATAGCTATATCATAAAGGAAAAAAAGCTCTAACATGTAGAAGTCATGCATTTAAATTGTTACTTAGGTAAAAGTACAAAAGTAATAGCATCAAAATATACTTAAAGTACCAAAAGTAAAAGTAGTCATTACATAGAATGGCACATTTCACATTAAGGTATGGTATATTATTGGATTATAATTAGGCTATTGATGCATCATGTTCCGAGTTAAGCAAAAATGTTAAAAAAATATATAACACTATAATTAGATTGTGATAATTATGTGATAATCTAATGAAACTGAAATGAAAAAGAATTCACATGATAAAATACTTTGCCATATCACCCAGACCTATGATGAAGCATTAAAAATAGAAGGCAACATTAAACATACAGAACTGATTCTAAATGCCCCACCTATAGAGGAGGACTGCGGACTAATGAGGAGCTCCTCCTGGACTTGTTCACTCCCTGGCACCGTCTGCTGGTCACTCAGTGAGCTCTGGGAGGCACTGACCGGTTGAGAAGATGCCTCCTGGACCTCCTCATCACTGAGACGCTCCACCTTCACCCTCACATCTTCCTCTTCTGCTTGCACTGGTGACGACACCACTTTGGAGCTTTCACATGTCAGGTAGTCGCTCAGCCGTCGGCTGACCACCACCTCTGAGGTCCCTGGAGTGCCCTGCTCTAAACATCGAGGGCTCTCAGAGAGTTTTGATTTGTCTGAATGGAACCTACGGTCAATACCAAATGGGAATGTCCATGGAAACGCCAGGGAAGACTCCACAGGCTGGGCTGTGCTGTCTGAGAATGAAGGGGATGGGTTGGGGATCTGAGGGGAGGTGGTGACCATCTGTGTAGTGCATTTGAGAGGGCTCTCAGGTGATGCCACTGTTACAAAACTCTTGCGTTTTCGTCGAGATTCACGGCATATAGGAACATTTCTTTCCATCACGCTACAGTCTGATGACACAGGTGACACACTGCCGTCCAGTGGTGTCAGGGCACAGTTTGATGAGGCACTCTCTTGTGCTGATTCATGTGGTTTATCTGATGTCATATTGTTGTTATTGTTGTTGTTGTTACCTGGGCTCCACAGAATACTTGACTTCATGAACTCTGAACACGTGCTTGCCACAGCAAACATCTGCATATAACTTGCAGCTGCCAGGACATCGATGATATTCTCTGTGCTGATGGAGAGGGTAGATGTGTACGCATATTCCAACAAAGGAGCAAAGCCACTGACAGTCACATGATGAAGGTCCAAAACAAACTTGTCCTCCTCCTCCGGTCGGCCCACCAGTTTGGAGCGGAAGAATTCACTGCAGCAGGCAAGAACCACTTTGTGGGCCTGGAAAAGCTTGTCTTGGACCCGGATGGTGACATCACATAAGTGACCTTCATTGCGTAAAGCGTTTAGCTTTTCCAGCATCTCCTGGCTATGAGAGGTTGAACTGTGGGTGAAGGTTTTGAGCCCCATGTTGGAGTCAATTTCTGACTCTGCACAGGAAATGCGCCCTGGAGATGGAAAAACAAGATTTCAGTTCAGTTTGCAAAAGCTAAACCATACAAACTGTTTCTCAGGAATCAGAAATCCACGTCCATGAATCCATGAATAAGGAAAAAAAATAATTTTAATACAAATATTATCTACAAGCCTTATTCTTTTTTGTAAAGTACTTTGCATTTGTTACTGTATGTATATAGCATTGACAATGATTTTTTTTTTCCAACTAAACAATCTAAGCCTCAAAAGGAAACATTAAATACAAAGACAAAAAAGGAAAAGTCAGATGTCACCGTGCAAAACACCAGTTTCATGGTGGCTGGGTTGAAGGGAGGGAGCATAGAGGAAAAAATGTCAACTTATGTAACAACAATGAACACAGCACAGCAATGCAAGCCAGACCTAAATAGAGGCCAGTGCACAGGATGCTGCTCAGCAGCTGTCTGCGAGACATGTGGATTCTCTGAGGCATGAGATTTTCCATCAAACAAAAAAATAAAGTGAAGGGGCTCTTGCAGAGAGAGTGGCGGTCGGCCCACCAGTTTGGAGCGGAAGAATTCACTGCAGCAGGCAAGAACCACTTTGTGGGCCTGGAAAAGCTTGTCTTGGACCCGGATGGTGACATCACATAAGTGACCTTCATTGCGTAAAGCGTTTAGCTTTTCCAGCATCTCCTGGCTATGAGAGGTTGAACTGTGGGTGAAGGTTTTGAGCCCCATGTTGGAGTCAATTTCTGACTCTGCACAGGAAATGCGCCCTGGAGATGGAAAAACAAGATTTCAGTTCAGTTTGCAAAAGCTAAACCATACAAACTGTTTCTCAGGAATCAGAAATCCACGTCCATGAATCCATGAATAAGGAAAAAAAATAATTTTAATACAAATATTATCTACAAGCCTTATTCTTTTTTGTAAAGTACTTTGCATTTGTTACTGTATGTATATAGCATTGACAATGATTTTTTTTTTCCAACTAAACAATCTAAGCCTCAAAAGGAACCATTAAATACAAAGACAAAAAAGGAAAAGTCAGATGTCACCGTGCAAAACACCAGTTTCATGGTGGCTGGGTTGAAGGGAGGGAGCATAGAGGAAAAAATGTCAACTTATGTAACAACAATGAAAGCAGATGCACAGCAATGCAAGCCAGACCTAAAAAGAGGCCAGTGCACAGGATGCTGCTCAGCAGCTGTCTGCGAGACATGTGGATTCTCTGAGGCATGAGATTTTCCATCAAACAAAAAAATAAAGTGAAGGGGCTCTTGCAGAGAGAGTGCACTCCCATCAGAGACACTAAAGGAAAATACTCTTGGGCTATGTTGGCCCAGTAAAGGCAAAGTGAATTATAGGCCTGGGCTGCAGTGGTGCAACTGGAGTGTTCCTAGAATGAACTCGTAAACTGGGCCAACAGAAGAGAGTTTTAATTCCACTGTGGGATTTTTACATGGCTATGATGTCTCCTGAAGGAGAATTATTTAGCTATGTAATCTTTATTAAGATCTTCCTAGCAAAAGGAAATGTTATTTAGAGTACATGAACTTGAGAAAGCAGTTCAGCACACAAGTCAAATAGTCAGATTGTCTTAAATAAAATCAACAGCTAATGACGCGTGACATAAATCGCCGGTAAAGAGAAGATTCTACTAAAACTGTCAAATTTTTTTTAAAGTAAAAACAAATACATTTGACTTTGTTCCTTCCTCTAAATTAGTTTCTTATTACTTGTTGATTACTCCTTGGTCTATTATGTTGAAGACTACCTTAAATCTTAGAAGGCATGTGGAAGTTCAAACATAACTGATTGCAATGTATGCTCTACAACAGGGGTGGCCAATTCCAGTCCTTGAGGCCCGCTGTCCTGCTTGTTTTCCAACTATCCCTGCCTGATCTGCTGCTGATTACCTGGCTCAGGTGTGTTCAGTCAGTCAGAAGCTAGAAGATACCATCTTAGATGAAGTGAATTGGTATCTTTCTTTATCTTTCCTCACTCCACTTTCATCTAAGATGGTATCTTCTAGCTTCTGACTGACTGAACACACCTGAGCCAGGTAATCAGCAGCAGATCAGGCAGGGATAGTTGGAAAACAAGCAGGACAGCGGCCCTCAAGGACTGGAATTGGCCACCCCTGCTCTACATGAAAAACAAAATGTCCAGCTGCTTGCAAAACACATTGTAGGGCTGCAGGGTAAATCATTTTATAAGCATGATTTAGATCCCTGTGCGATCTCAGTCTCGCATGACAATGATTCTGCCGTGTTTGCTTTAGCAGTGAAATCCCTTGTATCAGAATAAGCGCTCACTTTTCCTTGCTAAGCTGCGTTAACCAAAAATTGCAACTAATAACCACTAAGTGATTTATTTCTGCTTTAATTGCTATTCGGCACTAGGTGCAAGGCCAGGCAGTGCAATGTTTGAAAAATAGTTGCAGGATGGCACAGAACCTCTTTCACAATGTCAGACATGCTGGATTTGTCTTTGAATTTAGTCTTCTTGTCTACAGCTCGTCAGGTGATGTAACACAGTCCTGCTATTGGTTAATGCAACTTAGCAAGGAAAAGGTAGTCCTTGGTTTGATGCAAGGCATCTCCTGCTAATGCAAACATGGCAGAATCATTGTCAAGTGAGACTGATATTGCACAGGGATCTAAATCCCACCCACAAAACGATTTATCATGCAACCCTAAAGCATTGCTCAAAACATTGCAAGTGTTGCTGGACTTTTTGCTTTCCAGTTTGTTTTTTTCCTTGTTTGTGCACCTTAACAGTGGGTGAAGTTGTGCCACAAATTTCTAATGCATGTCCTACTTGCCTCACTGTAAAGCCACAACAGTAGGTTTAATAACCAAAATAATGACAATGGCCATTTTGTGATTATTTCATCAAGAAAAAAAAAATCTTTTTTTCCCCTGCCTGCATCTTATCAAATGTAAGGATTTGTTGATCATTGCTGTTTCACCTCAATGCCTGTACACCTAAAGCCTTTTTGTTTTGTTTTCTTCTTTGGGTCATATATGCTATTTGAAGACATCACTAATGTCTTCAAAAAAGGCAAACACAGCTGTAAAAAGAACTACTAAAATTACCCACAAAAACGTTTATGATGGCGATAGAGCACAGCCTCCAACCTGGTACTCTGTTTACATCACGTATTATCAAATGACCACAGACACACAGCAGATTGTCAAAGTGGACACAAAAAGAATTAGGAATGCAAGTATGTCAGGCACGCGGGATATGTGTCTAATGAACATGCAAACGTTTCCAACAGTTTAGCAAGCAGTAGCTAATAGTGTAAAGTTGACATAACAAGTCAGCCAAGGGATGAAAAACATCCGACTTCAACTGTCAAAATAAAAGACGAGCGAGAAATGAGGCTCTCTTTCAGCTCGCTTTATCTTTTAAAACGAATAGACTCGTGCTAAAACACTGTAGTGCATTGGGATATGCGTCATTAAATTATCTTAATGACTACACATATTGATCATGCTACCAACAATATATGTAGTATTTATTATCAAAACGTAATTAGTTCACACATCCAGACTGGCATGCACTGTTCAGTTCAAAAAGTTGTTCATATACTTAAGTTCTATATTTCCCACTACAGTTTATTGGTAAATACATACACACAACCATTTCAATATACAAAACATACTTTTTAATGACCAAGTACCAAAAATAAGCATTTCAAGCTCATTTATTTTGAAACCGAATAAACCACATTCCTAGTGTGACCATGGATAACCCTGCATACATCGACGCAGCTGCTGCACATTAGCTAACTACCGTTAGCTACCAAGCTAGCGCTAGGCGACACAACCCTGCACTATTAGTTGGTTTCCTTTACCTTTATCAGTGCTTAGAAAATATAGTAGCCGGATACATGGCGTGCACCGTGGGGCTAACGTTATCAAACATACGACATGAAAGGAACTTACCCTCAGGGTTAAGGCCTATGATAACGGCTGGGCCTCAGGATGCAAACAGCTCAGTTGACAAAAAGCAGCAAGACAGAGACAGCGGTGCGCCCTGCCGCTCCACTCCACTCACTCACATTCCCTGCGTTACTCGGGCAGTTGTTAACCTGCCAGCCGCCAAAACTCACAGTTTAAATAACGCTAACATGAATTCCTACCACAATAGACTGGCATTTAAAGTTTTCGAGCAGCTGTTTTCATTCCTTTGTGCTCCCTGCTGCTCTTTCAGGGGTGTATTTGTATCCCCACAATGCAACGCGCATCTCTCAATGCACTGTACTGTATGAAACAGGAAGTCTCACATTTACCGACATGTACAACACAACTCCAACGCTGCTCAGAAATTCCCAGTATCCTACAGCTTATTAATTCACATGCAGTTTATATAACCTTTTGTAACATTAGGCCTGTCAGTCAGAACATGCACAGTATGCTATATGTGCTAAATAAATTTATTTTTCTCATACTTTTATTTTTTATGTCTTTGGAATTTTGGAAAACATTTACAACTACCTCAATAGATCATGCAATGCATATTGCACGCTTTCTCACACCCTCTTTATCTTCTGGTATCCTAATTTTATGCAATGTGTCTATGTGCTGTAGTAGAAAAACTCCAGTTTTATCATTGTAAATATTTAATTCATTATTTCCTGCCTCTTTGACAGATGCAATTTCTTAATAGAATGTGAATGTATTGACATTTTTATATTTTAGGTTACATTTTAATTGACTGATTTTTGCACCTGAAACGCTGCCATAGAATATTTTTTTATGAGATGATTGATTTTTGAGTGGTTATGATAAGTTTTTACCTTGTGTGTTGTCTTATTTTTAGGTTTCTATTTTCTAATATTCTCTGTTGTCAATAACTCAAACCACACCAAATTCTGTAAATGATATCATGGCCATACCGGTTTTTGCAACCCATTATGATTTTTACATCTACCAAGTTCAGTCAGATGGAAATAGAATAGTATAAACAGACTGACATTAAAATAGAATATTAAGTCACTGTTGTTGCCTGTTAAATGGAGGTTCCTCCCTAACCACAGCTGTTTATTTTTGTATTGCTGTCATTATTTCAGACATCTGAACAGAGACGTTATTTCAGTGTGGGATTTATAGGGGTTTGTCAGTTTGTTAGATGTGCGGTGAAATCTTGTTCAGCTTTTAAAAGCTGACCCATCTAAAAAAAAAAAGTTCCATTAGCTTAGCCTTAAGTGGTGGGTTTTAGTGTTCCACAATGGTCTAAAATAGTGGAATGCAAAACAGCAAACTTGGCAATTTTTTTGGAATTTATGGCTCATTTTGAAGTTTGGCTTCTACTAATCGTGGCATGATTGTTGTGTGTACTCCTCAATCTGGACCAAAAGAAAAGTCCTTAAGTAATGAAGCTTTTGTGTGCAACAGAGAAAAGGAGTAAGGATCAGTAAAAAAGAACTGTGTTTTGACATAAATGTGTTTATTTGACCATTTTTATAGACAAAAATCTCAAAGGCAGCATCTGCCATGTTAAGTACATGTCCAAAGTAAAAACTTTACAAAAATAAATAGCTTAAAAAGCGGTAATAATAAAATAGTATGATCCTTCACTGAAGGGATATAGGCCTAATGCGCCATCTCTTTTGTCTCATAACATACTGTAAATTAACAACAGGAATGAAGAAATCAAATATACATACAAGAAAACAACTGGAAGCATTTTCTTATGATGCATTAACAAATAAAAGTCTGAAAATTAATAAAATTAATGTTATTATCATATAAACAATAGATGCTTATCACAACTTAATAACACTTCGAAAGACACTATTGAACTGTTAATTGCTTGTACCACTGTTTCTCTCAACTGCATTGTAATGCAACTGGCAAAAGGTTAAAATAAACTATAGGGTAGAAGGGAAATCATCTGTCTTTTTTTGTGGTCAGAAAAAAACAGATATAATCTAATCTAATTTTACACAGCATGTAAACTCAAATTCCATCTATTTCTATAAATTCTACATGTGTAGTTAATCTGCTTTGATGGGCACATTTTTAAGTCCAAAATATTGTCGGGATTAATGACTTTGAATTATTTCCCCATAGCTCAGCAATAAAAACATGACATCTTCATCACAGTCACATTTTGTTGTGTAGAAAACACAAGCAATCAAACAGGAGCATGTTTCACAAAGGTTTAAAATCCAAATAGCTCAACTGTACATATATACCTCAATAGTAGGTACAGTAAATGGCTCGATCAAAGCTTTGTGGGGATGTGGAGTGCTGTAGAGGACACCTGGAGGTATCGTTACATTGTGCTAGTGCTTGACAGCAGGTTCCATGCCATTTGTTCTGTCCCAGTTTAAATGACAGAGAATTTAGAAAGACGAGCTGCAAATTATATAAAAATTCATCCAAAAAGTTAGTTTCTGTTTAAAGTGGGACTAGAAAGCTTCTCATTCTGGAGAAAACACACACACAGCATCTTCAACTAGCATCTATACATACTAAAAAAAATGAGGTAGATTTCCATTAGTTTCAATTTCAACAGTGGTTGTCAAATGTCAACAAAAACTGACAAAACAATATTCAGGCAAATGCCCTTGGTGTGACTTGTAGTGACCAGTTGGTAACATGGATGGATTATCAGACACTGGCTCCCTGGGCACAGACACATAAAAGGCCCCCACCCCTCCTACATACTGTAGGAACAAGACACCCAAAGTTAAGAGACAAAAACTGTCACAAACTAGACAGCACTCAGAGAGTGCAAACCTCCACCAGGGCACCCCCATGCCATTAAAATAATTCAAGGACTGGGATGATGATCTGGATCACCACCAAAATGCAGTGGATTGTTCCATTCCACACCCTAACGCTCCAAAAGATTTCTTCATAATGCATTCAGAATTTTTTCAGTTATACTGTGAAGAAACCAGCAAAAAACTGTGCCAGTATGTCTGTTTAGTAACCCTCCATGACTGGTAAGTGCAGTCAAACCAAAATAGGAAAGTTCACTGGTTCTCTTTGAGGTTGTTTTGTGTCTCTTTGTAGTCATGTGAGTTTTGCATCCCTTAATAGTTGCTTTGTGTTGCTTCATGGTTCATAGATTCTTTGTAGCCACTCTGCTTCTATTTGCATTTCTTTGTGGTCATTTTGTGTCTCTGTAGTCTTGTTGTGCATATTTATAGTTATTTGTGTCTCTGTGGTCATTTTATGTCCCTTTGTGTGGTTGTTCTGTGTCTCTTTGTACTATTTTTGTTTATCTTTATAGTGATTTGCACCATTTAGTCATTTTGTGGCTCTTTGTAGTCATTTTCTGTCCCTTTGTAGTAATTTATATATCTTTGTAGTCATGTTTCATCTCTTTGTAGCTATTTGCATTTCATTATAGTCATTTTGTCTCTCTAGGTAATCATCATGTCTGCTGACCCCATGTGCCCAGATGTCTGTTCAGTAATCCATCCATGTTTGATAAGTGCAGTAAAATGAAAACCAGACAGTTTTCTGAGCTCATGTTCTTCATAAGCACTCCTGGTTGAGACATTCTTCAGAGATTGGCTTTGGGACTTTGTTTGGATCACACTTCTCTGGCTCAACAGTCTTCCCAGTGTAATCTGTGCAGAAGACACTGCGGTGGCGTTCCCCTTGGCCACAAGTTCGTGAACAGGCAGACCAAGGTCCCATCTGCCATATGGGGCATGGCAGATCCCCACAAGGTTTGATATCTGGGGGCTTCAGGTCTTTGTTGCACTGACTGGAAAGGAAGCCTGCACTGTCTTGGCATTCAACATTCCTCCTGGACCATCCGGAATTACAGCTCTTGGAACATTCAGACCACTCCCCTAGCACCCAGTCAGGTGCATCAAAGGGATGGAGCATATGCAAAGACTGTGAAAATCCCTTCTTCTCCTTGGATTTATTGAAGGTGACATCTTTAGGGATGAAAAAGGTATATTTGACTTTAGGAGGGTTGGCATCCCCTGCAGTGGCCAGGAGTTGGACGGTGATGGCCTCCTTCAGCTGCCTGAAACTCTGGACCCTCTCCAGTGTAGTGGAGGAGCCGCTGTATTTCAGCACAGCACCTAGTACAGGAATGTCCTGTTCCACTGTGGATACAGAAAAGTTACCGTTGAGGATGTAATCGCCATTCTCTCTCTGTATAGCCAAGTAGTTCCCATCATGTTTGATTCCTCTGTGGCTCCGTTGTTTAATGTCGATGTTAGTGGCACCAATGGGAATTGTGACAATGTCACTGTATCCAGAGCTGGTATAGAAAAGGAAAAAGGTAGATTTAGATCACATATAGACTTTGTTTTGTTTTAAAGTTAAGGGGCTCAAATTTGATGAAATAGAGTGCAGTGCTAAACTCATATCTAAACACCAGGAGCAACGTGCATACGGCTGTGTTCAGCAATATTTTGCAATTTTGGTCATCACAGATGCAACCAGGTGTTACCGAGTGCATTGAGGAGGAGAGGCAAAATACATTATTAAAGGGAGGAATACATCATGAGCAGGTGGAGTCAGGGCTAGCTTTAGTTATGTCCAGTCAAACCAGCTCCTCTCATCCCTTTCAAAGAGCAGGGTAAAAACCTGACTGACTGATGTCACTGATGTAATGATATAGAAGTATACAAGAAGAAAGATTATTTTCCTGTATCTTCTTCTCCTGCCAGTTATGTACTCCAATCCTAAACTGGGATGACAAAACTATTTATGTAGAAGTACTGTGCATACTGTATATATTCACTCAGGAGTCTGCTAATATCACTGACTAGGGTTTGTGCTTGGTAGAAAGATCCTATAACCAGCAGCAATTATACAGCATAATTTACTCACAGCTGCATCCGATGTCCAAAATCCACAGGGCTCTTGGAGTCATTTGCATGTACCCTTATATTTTGTAGCTTTAAAGATAATACATAAAATCATGTTGTAATCATGGCCTTTATGGTGAAACTGGTTGCAGTCCACCAGAGCACACAGTCAGTGGATGCGTCACCCACCTTATCTCCACCTACAGCTGCTTTCAGTCAAACCATCAAAAAATGCGAAAAATTGTCAAAATATATCCCTGTGGAAGTAACGGTGGCATGTCTGTGTGAAGCTTGTTTGTTTGATGAAAAGGTACTTAACAGTGACAGCAGTGCACAGTGAGGTCAGACTGACATTACCTACTGCCTAATAAGGTAACTGGTCTTTCTCACTACTCATGAGCTGTGTTCATGTGTTGTTTTGTTCACTTGTGTTTAATTGTTCATCTGATCTGTGATTCCCACACACCAGCTGCAGATTACCCTCAAAGGCATCCTGTAAAGACAGTTGGTGCATCCTGACGCACTCCAACACTGTTTGACAATGCTCAGATCTATAGCCACATACTGAGAACTATCTTATGCTATTTGATTAAAATAGTTCTAAATTATCACACATATTTCATAACCCAGATAATTTCACAATAAATTACTCTGTGAATTCTGACAGATCAGTTGTGGATTTAAGGGTTAATTGCAAGTTGGTGTGGCCTTCAAAATACATTTGGGTCCCTGCTCTCCTGCTTCCCAGCCTGCGTGCTTGTCGGGAAAATTGCAATGCACCTGCGATAGCGATAAGAGGTGGTCTGAGAAAATGTTATCGTTATCGCTATTTCAGGCTGGCAGGAAAACAGATCCCATAGTGCCATGTGATGTTGAGTGGCTTATTACAGGGAGTTTTTAGTTTTGCTGCTTAGATGCACTAATATCTGTAGTTTTACACAAGTACAGAACTTAACCAATCACTTCAGTAAATAAGTTATGAGGCAACAAGTAGTATTTCAAATAATGAAAGCATAATTTATTATAGTCAGCCTGTAAGTTATTATATATAGTGCAGTTACTTCATGCAAAGATAAGTCAGTTTTTCTGCTTGGACAGGTATGTCAGTGTTTTGTGAACCATGAATTCAACTCAAAATAAATATATAAATAAACAAACATTGCCTGCCTCTACTAGTATATTTGTGTTTTATCATTGTCTGGGACTTCAGAGAGTTTCATGGAGATGATTTGTTTCTCACTCAAAGTCATTTAAAAGGTCACTTCATTACCAATAAATAAAACAATCAATTCATTTACTAACATAACATTTTTAAGTTCAGACCTCTCCATCAGACAGATAGCTTCAGTTTGAGATACAATATAATGCAACTTAACCTCACTGGACCCCCAACTCCAAAGGACCACAATCCTCACAAATCCCAGTTTAAACACTGCCCTGGACTAGTCTTACAACTGAATTAAGTTGTGCTTGCATGCGCTGATAATACCTAGCCGTTCTTTTCACCACAGCTTGATTAGTAAATACATACATACACTTCAGTGAACATGAACTTTATTGTAACTACGTGTACTATACATCCATGGCTTTATCGTTTTCAGATGTCACATTTTGTCAGTACACTTTTTTGTTATATCACTTACGTTGCTTTGTTGTAGGAGCCTGTGACTTTTCTGCAGGTAAGCCCACTTCCTCCACACACTCCACACTTATCCACTCTCTTGTTGGATCCAATCACCTTGTCACAGCCTGCCTTCACACACTGGCCTTGAACACACACCGATGTAGTGTCAGGGCCACAGACTGTCCCATCAATCACCTGCATTGACACAACAAGTGGGCGTTGATTCTGTAGTTACAGGTGTAAAGAAAGAGTCTGATTATTCTGAGTGTGTGTATGTGTGCCCATTTCATTCCTAGCATGTAACTCATGTGCCTTTATAAGATGTAGTGACAATAACATTTGAAGAAAAAAAAGAAGAAGGCCTTTTCCAGCACTTTAAACCACATGTTAGAATTCACATCAGTAGATGAAGGTTATAATGAGGTAACACTGTGATTGTTCAAGATTTGATTGTAACCTCCACCCAGTGATGAAGGCCATGGAATGTAGCTGAAAACTCCATAAAAGGCTAGAAAGCTGACAGAGAGTTAAGATGCTTCTGTCAGACTACTGTTTTCAGTGTTCTTATTATGCTATAGGACACAACTATTTTCTAAATACCCAATATAATAGGAAATTTAAACAGAGTTTGGAAGAAACTCTTTTGATTGGAAAGCATTACATCAATACCGGGGCATGCTACTTGTAGTGTGAACATAATGTGTTGGCAAAATGGCTCATGTTGAGTACTATACCTTGGATTCAAACACCTTAAATTCACTGCTGCCTCTGGCTCTGCAGAACAGCTTACATCTGTCTCTGGGAGAAACACCAGCATACTTTGGTATCCACTGTTTCATGTTGCCGTTGTAGTCCACATAGTTGGGGCTGTTGTACTTCTCACACTGTTCCTCTCTGAAGCTCTTCCCTATGTGTAAAAAGCAGAAATTTCACAACAGATGTAGGCCAATCTACTGAGAGAGAGCTCTTGAAAAAATAATAACCCCTAACAAATACTTTCCAAGGTAAATTAACTTCCTTTCAAAACATTATTTCTTTAGATATGCCCTACAATCAATATGTTGAAGCTAATACAAATTAATACTCAGTTCTGTGCAAAAGTCTTCGGCCACCACAGTTTTGCTGTTTTAGCAAGGTTGTAATGATCATTTGGATCTGTCTCAGTCTCTTTATTAAGATATATATAACCAGAAAATACAAGACATATGTACACAAAATTAAAAAGCACAAGGTTTTCAGAACAAAAATGGCTTCTACAGTCCAAAACCAGTATTTAGTGTGACCTCTGCTTGTACTTAATACAGCTTGAATTCTTTTAGGGAGACCGTCTTGAAACCATGACAGACCCTCCACCATGTTTCACCGAAGGCTGCCACACTCATTCCTACACTCATTCATCCACCTCTCTCCAACTTCTCACATACTGTCAACGATTGGACCCAGAGAGTTCAAACTTCAGTTCATTGCTCCATAAGACTCTTTTCCACTGATCTTCAATCTTTGTGAGCTTTTGCATATCTGAGCCTTTTCTCCCTGTTCCCCTTCTGGAAAAGTGGCTTCTTGGCTGCTGCCGTTCCTATCAAGTTCTTTGGACTGTGGAAGGACCGACTTGGCATCCAGATGAAGCTGCCCGATGCTGAGCCCTGTCACTGCTGGATTTCCTCTGGTCTCTCAAAGAAGAAACTCTGAGAAGCGTCTCATCAGATTCTGACAGTTTTCTTGGTTTTCTACACTTCTTCATATTTCTTTAGAACAGCTTGAACACCACATCTTGAGTATCCAGTTTGTTATATTTCCTGTATTTCCTAGTATATTCTTTGTATTTTCTATATTTTTCATAACATTACTAAAACAACAAAACTAATGGTGGCCTAAGACTTTTGCACAGTACTGTATATTAATGTCATAAGTTAATACTAAGTTTATATTTGTATTTTTTATTTTGGTTAAAAAAATTGAATGAGGCAGTATTTAGCAACGAAAAATATTAAATATAGTTCACCTTCTCCGTTGATTTTCTCTTTGTCTTATGTGATAGTCGACTAAACTTACTTAGAGTTTTAATTCTCACCTTCATTGTTATCACAGGGTTGAGTGTTGCAGGACTGGTACTGAACCCTCTGCCCCTCACAGTACTTCCCTCCGTTCTGAGGCATGGGGTCAGTACACTCCCTGTAGGAGAACTCCACCCCACCTCCACATGTTCTGGAGCACTGCTGCCATGGTCCCCATGAGCTCCAGCCACCGTCTACAACCACCTGCAGTACACAATACAAGAAAAGAGGAAAAAAGAGCTGCCAGAGTAGTTGGTTAGAGCAAAGTGCCAAAGCCAATATCAGCTGTGCAGCCCAAACCACAGTCTGGGCTTCTGGGTTTGAGGCAACGCAGTTTGTTGGCGTGCCACAAATCCAGTCTAAATCTGGTATTTATGTTCGGCACACGCCTGCTGTCTGCTTCTACCCACATTCCTGCCACATGTGTCACTCACCCCTAGTGGAACTTGCCATGCTGCAGCTTTGTACAACCTCAAATCAGATAAAGTGGGGACAGTATGTAAAATTTAAATTAAACCTGAAAATAGTCATTTATAAATCATCTGTGTCCTGTATTACATTGAAAACAACACAGCAGCACATTATTTGATGTGATACCTCATCAGTTTTATTCTTTGTCCAAAATAAACACTCACTTCAATTCTGATGCTGCAACACATTCTAAAAAAAGTTGGGACAGTAAAGTGTTTACCACAGTGTGATGTTGTTGTTCCTTTTCACGACACTTAAAAGACGTTTAGGGACTGAGGACACCAGGTGATTCAGTCTGTCAGGTGTCATTTTGTGGAACATAGTAAAGGAAGGACATCCTTCCTACAACCATAAATCTGAAAAAGTAGGGACATTATGTAAAATCAAAATTTAAACTGAAAATAGTGATGTGTAAACCATCTGTGTCCTGTATCACATTGAAATGTGATACTTCATCAATTTTATTCTATGTTCAAAATAAACACTCGCTTCAATTCTGATACTGTAACACATTCAGTAAAGTAAAGTGTTTACCACAGTGTGATGTTGTTGTTCCTTTTCACAACACTTAAAAGACGTTTAGGGACTGAGGACACCAGGTGATTCAGTCTGTCAGGTGTCATTTTGTCCCATTCTTCCTGTAAACAAGTCTTAAGGTGCAACAGTCCTGGGTCATTGTTGATGGAGTTTGCATTTCAAAATGCTCCACACATTCTCTATTTGGGGACAGGTTGGGACTGCAGGCAGGACAGTCCAGTACTCACACCCTTTTCCTCCACAGCCAGGCCTTGGTAATGTGGCACTATGAGGTTTTGCATTGTCTTGTTGAAATATTCACGAGAATCTCTGGAAAAGACGTCGTCTTGAAGGCAGCAGATGTTGCTCCAAAACCTCTGTGTATTGTTCAGCATTAATGGAGCCATCACAGAAGTGGAAGTTACCTTTGCCAAGGGCACTGACACAACCCCAGACCATGACAGACCCTGGCTTTTGGACTTGTTGATGGTAACAGTCTGGATGGTCTTTTCTGTCTTTGGTCCAGAGCACACAGAATCCATTCTTTCCAACAGAGAACTGAAACACTGATTCTTCTGACCACAGTACATGTTTCCATTGTGTGATGGGCCATCCCAGATGCCTCTGAGCCCAAAGCAGTCGACTGAGCTTCTGGACACTGTTGACATAGGGCTTCCTTTTGGCACAGTACAGTTTTAAACAGCATTTATGGATGTAACTACGTATTATGTGCCATCTGAGGGATCAGAGAGCACGGACATCCAGCTTAGGCTTGTGTCCTTTATGCACCGAAATCCCTCCAGATTCCTCAAATCTTTTATTGATGTTCTGCACCAAAGAGGGTGACATATCCAAATCCTTTCCTATCTTTCTCTGAAGGACATGGGCTTTAAACATTTCAATCATTTTCTCACACATATATTTGCAAACCGGGGGTCCTCAGCCCATCTTTGCTCCTAAAGGACTCAGCCTTTCCTGGATGCCACCTTTGTACCAAATCATGATGCAGTCACATGTTGACATCATTAGTTTCACATGGAATCATTTCATTGTTTTACCTCATTACTGGTGCTGAAATGCAACTGTCCCAACTTTTTTTTGGAATGTGTTGCAGCATCAGAATTGAAGTGAGTGTTTATCTTGAACAAAGAATAAAACTGATGAGGTATCATATCAAATAATGTGCTGCTGTGTTGTTTTCAATGTAATACAGGACACAGATGATTTATAAATTACTATTTTCAGTTTTAATTTTGATTTTACATATGGTCGCAACTTTGACTGGTTTGGGGTTGTAAATCAAAGTTGAAAGTGTGTGTATGCTTATGTATATATATAGTATACCGGTATGTGTGTTTACCAGAGGTTTGGACCAGTTAACATCCTTATTACCAGCATGTCTGGATTCATACACAAAGAGAAGATATCAATCCAACCAAGCTAAACTGAAACACTGGGATGTATAAATGTTCTTTTAAATGCAAAAATCCATCCAAAGGCAGCTGGATTTAAATTCACTAAGTTCTAAAAATGCTGTAATGCTTACCTTTATCCCGTACTTTTCATTTATCTAAAAGCCTTAGACAGCTGCAATACTGAAAAAGGTCTTATCTCCACTAACTAAACCAATGTATTTATTCTACAGAGATTTGTAAGATGTTTTTGTAGTTTGACATGAAAGTTAAAGATTTTCATGAAATACAAGATTTCTAATATTTGATTTTGTATTAAGTTGTTGACTGATTAAAAATCAGACAAATCTTATAGCTGTTCTGGAACCTTTGATTGTTTCACATGATCTTCTTTAGTAGAAGGATTTTTGCTGATTTGTAAAATTGTGGAATACTTGCTGAAAAACTTCAGGACTTCTCATCTGTTTTGCTTTAAAATGTGACCTTTAATGTTATGGCAGCCCCCCTCACCAGGAGGGTGAGGAAGGACTGAGGTTGGGCTCAAGTTTGCAGACCCAGGTGCTAGGGAAAAAAAACATGTTGGTTGCTGGTTACAAAAGAACACAGAGTATCAAAAGAACATAACAAAGTCCAAGTATATAAAAGTCCAGGTAGAGTAGAGATGGTGGAGGGAAACAAACAGGGGAAGCCAGGGACTGACGCAAAAACCAAAAGGGGAGGAAGATGAAGACGGACAGGTGAAAGAACAAAAAGACCAGTGTACACAATGCAATCCACAGCACAGGAACTGTCAGCGCGGAAAACAAAGGCACGTATTGCTAACCGCATAAGTGGTGTGATAGAGTCAAGCCAAAACGCACAGAAACTGTCAGCGTAGCATTCTATCTACGTACATTACGCGGTACTTGGTTAATGTTCCAGCGAAACTGGAGCGTCTGTCAGTGGTATAAATAAGGAGGAGAAGGTAATCATCGGGATGCACCCCAGCTGTGTGCATTGACAAACCAGTTGCTAATTACTGGAATTCTACACAGCTGAGGTGCAGAGCCCACATGATAAAG